ATATATATATATATATATATATATATATATTGTATATATATCAAGAGACACGGTAGTGTCTTAGCTAAGTCCCAGCGTAAGCAAAGATGCACTCCGTGTATTATTACGCGAGTCAGATTGAGAGTATAACTCGATATTTTTATTTTTTCATATAACCGCTCAACGGATCGAGTTCTTAGTAGAATTAATCGATAGCTTGGGTTGAAATTATATAATAAAAGTGTTTTTATTTTTGCGCTACGTGCTCTGTAAACGGAGATATCATGATACAAAGTCTAAAATGTGAAAATTTCGATTAAGAAACGTCGTCATGGTCGTCATCGTCAACTCCTCTTAATATAACAAAGAAATATACAGAAATACGTTTCCAACATCTGCCACAAGAATGCGCTAGCAGTGATTCACGACGCAGTGTTAGTAGCGCCACAGAGTGTCTGTGATACTAAAGGTGCGGCCTCATTGACGCTAAAAAGTAGCGTCAACCATTGGTTGAACAAAGAGGTAAGTATAGTTGCTTCATTGTTCAACCAATGGTTGACGCTACTTTTTAGCGTCAATGAGGCCGCATCTTAAAGGTGCGGCCTCATTGACGCTAAAAAGTAGCGTCAACCATTGGTTGAACAAGGAGGTAAGTATAGTTGCTTCATTGTTCAACCAATGGTTGACGCTACTTTTTAGCGTCAATGAGGCCGCATCTTAACGGCGTTTAGTGATATTAAGGGCGCTTTGTAGCTGATTGGTCTATGATGAATTGTCGATCGATATCGAGCTTGAATATCTATTACATGTACTTATTGTGTGATGCACTAATTATCATACATATCTTTTGATTTAAAATAAGAGCTATCGCACAAATTGACATAAGCTGCATATGCGTATATAAAATCGCTGGCTCAATGAACATCAAGCATTGATCAATATGGCGACTTAATACTCGATGCTTATTGATCCAGGGGTTTTATGTTATTATATATAATACAGGGTGAGTCATCTGAATCTATCACCCCAAATATTTCCGTTCCCTTACATTTTACAAGAAAATATTTCAGACAAAAGTTGTATGGTTTCTAGGGGGACATAAGATGGTGCCATTAGTTTGACCTTGAAGAGTCACATGAAGGTTACGTGAAGGTCATTTTGAATTTCTTAAATGGAACACCCTATATATTTTTACATATTCTTGTAACTTATCTCGAGAGCTTTCCAAAACACTTTAAATAAACATTTTTTCATGAAGTACTTTTCGAGTTATGAGGCTGGAAATCATTTCTTAATTTTACATAAACCATAAAATATCTAGTAAAATATTCATTTTTCGATTATCTTATCTTCATACTTTTATGTACAAAATAATGACGCACGCACGCACGCACGCACGCACGCACGCACGGCACGCACGCACGCACGCACGCACGCACCGCACGCAACGCACGCACGCACGCACGCACGCACGCCACGCACGCACGCACGCACCGGCCACGCACGCACGCACGCACGCACGCACGCACCGCACGCACGCACGCACGCCACGCACCCGCACGCACGCACGCCCACGCAACGGCACGCACGCACGCACGCACGCCGCACGCACCGCACGCACCCGCACGCACGCACGCACGCACGCACGCACGCACGCACGCCGCACGCACGCACGCCACGCCACGCACCGCACGCACGCACCGCCCACGCACGCACTGCACGCCACCGCACGCCCACGCCACCGCACGCACGCACGCACGCACGCACGCACGCCACGCACGCACACGCACGCCACGCACGCCCCCACGCACGCACGCACGCCGCCACGCCCACGCCACCGCACGCACGCCACGCCCACGCACGCACGCACCCGCACGCACGCACGCACGCCACGCACCGCACGGCACGCACGCACGCACGCCACGCACGCACGCACCGCCAGCACGGCACGCCACGCACGCGCAACGCACGCACCGCACGCACGCACGCCCACGCACGCCGCCCACCGCACGCACGCACGCACGCAACGCACGCACGCACGCACGCCACGCACGCACGCAGCGCACGCAACGCACGCACGCACCGCCACGCACGCCACGCACGCACCACGCACGCACGGCACGCACGCCGCACGCACGGCACCGCACGCACGCACGCACGCACGCACCGCCGCACGCCACGCCCACGCACGCACCGCAACGCACGCACGCACGCACCGCACGCCACGCCGCCCACGCACCGCACGCACGCACGCACGCACCGCACGGCACGCACGCACGCACGCCCACGCAACGCACGCACGCACGCACGCCACGCACCGCACGCACGCACGGCACGCACCGCACGCACGCACCCGCACGCACGCCCACGCACGCACGCACGCACCGCACGCACGCACCGCACGCACGCACGCCACGCACGCACGCACGCACGGCCACGCACGCACGCCCACGCCCACGCACGGCACGCACCCGCACGCCACGCACGCACCACGCACGCCACGCACGGCACGCCACGCACGCACGCCACGCACGCACCACGCACCGCCACGCACCGCACGCACGCACGGCACGCACGCACGGCACGCACGCACGCCGCCACGCGACGCACGCCACGCACGCACGCACGCACGCACGCCACGCACGCCCACGCCGCACGCACGCACGCACGCACGCCCACGCACGCACGCACGCACGCACGCACGCACCACGCACGCACGCACGCACGCACGCACGCACGCACGCACGCGCACGCACGCACGCACGCACACGCACGCACGCACGCACGCACGCACGCACGCACGCACGGACGCACGCACGCACGCACGCACGCACGCACCGCCCACGCCACGGCACGCACGCACGCAACGCCACGCACGCACGCACCACGCACGCACGCACCGCACGCCACGCACGCACGCACGCACGCAACGCACGCACGCACGCACGCACGCACGCACGCCACGCACGCACGCACGCACGCACGCACCGCACGCACGCCGCACGCACGCACGCACCGCACGCACGCACGCACGCCACGCACGCACGCACGCACGCACGCCACGCACGCACCGCCGCACGCACGCACGCACGCACGCCACGCACGCACGCACGCACGCCACGCACGCACGCAACGCACGCACCACGCACGCACGCACGCACCGCACGCACGCACGCACCCGCACGCACGCACGCCACGCACGCAGCACCGCCACGCCAACGCACGCCACGCCACGCACGCACGCACGCACGCACGCACGCACGCACGCACGCACGCACGCACGCACGCACGCACGCCACGCACGCACGCACGCACGCCACGCACCGCACCGCACGCCACGCACGCACGCACGCAGCACGCACGCACGCACGCACGCACGCACGCACGCACGCAACGCACCACGCACGCACGCACGCACGCCACGCACGCACGCACGCACGCACGCACGCACGCACGCACGCACGCACGCACGCACGCACGCCGCACGCACGCACGCACGCACGCACGCACGCACGCACGCACGCACGCACGCACGCACGCACGCACGCACGCACGCACGCACGCACGCACGCACGCACGCACGCACGCACGCACGCACGCACGCACGCACGCACGCACGCCACGCACGCACGCACCACGCACGCACGCACGCACGCAGCACGCACGCACGCACGCACGCACGCACGCACGCACGCACGCACGCACGCACGCCACGCACGCACGCACGCACGCACGCACGCACGCACGCACGCACGCACGCACGCACGCACGCACGCACGCACGCACGCACGCACGCACGCACGCACGCACGCACGCACGCACGCACGCACGCACGCCCACGCACGCACGCCGCACGCACGCACGCACGCACGCACGCACCGCACGCACGCACGCACGCACCACGCACGCACGCACGCACGCACGCACGCACCACCCGCCACGCACGCCGCACGCACGCACGCACGCACGCCCCACCACGCACGCACGCACGCACGCACGCACGCACGCACGCACGCACGCACGCACGCACGCACGCACGCACGCACGCACGCACGCACGCACGCACGCACCACGCACGCACGCACGCACGCACGCACGCACGCACGCACGCACGCACGCACGCACGCACGCACGCACGCACGCACGCACCACGCCACGCACGCACGCACGCACGCACGCACGCACGCCACGCACGCACGCACGCACGCACGCACGCGCACACGCATAAACTAATCATGGAAGAAATAATGGAGGCAGTATTTGAATTATCGTCATCTTTACGTGTTGAGGCTGAATCGGTTTTAAAAGAAATCATCATAACATAGAATTTGTAAATTTTTAAAATTAAAAGTAGCTTATGCTTTGCAAAAGAAAATTAAAAATAAAAAGTAGTTTATGCAAAGCATAGAAAGAAAAAACATACATTTATAAAAAAAAATATTCTGTTATGATGATATATACATACATACACGCGCACATATACACACATACGCACACGCATACACATTTAAATATTAATAAAAATTAAAAACATTATTTCTATAACGGGCTGAGGTTCTTGGATTGGAACTTCGGTCTCGGGCTCGTTCTCTCGACCGTCCTACTCTAGCCCATCGTGCACGCGGTTGTTCTACAGTAAAAGAAATATTTTATTGCTATTTTATTTGAATATAATATTTAAAGAAGAACTGCATGGATTAACTATATCGAAAGTTAATAAATCTAATTCTAATATATTTACATTCAGATTCATGAATTTAACATTACGCAAAGTACTTTTAGCCTTTTAAGATATAAAAATAATTATTTGTGAATTAAAAATTTCTTTTGTAAAATATAATTTATACGACACAAAACTTCATGAAAATAAAAATTTTAATTCTATAGAAGGCTAAAAGTACTTTGGGCAATGTTAAATTCATAAATCGGAAAATGTAATAGATTTATTAACTTTTAACATAGCTTATTTATTTACTTCCTTTATAATTAACGTGCCAATTATATAATTCAAAATTATTTACCTCTACTTGCCCCGCTGTCGTTACCGTTGATGACGGCGACGGTGGCAGCGGTGACGACGGTTTCGGCGATGACAGCGGTGACGACGCTGACGGCGGCGGTGGCGGTGGTAGTGATACCATGGCGTTGGTGGCGGCGATTCTTTTTGTGTTTCCATTAATTTTTATATTTTTTTTAAGTATTATATTTTCTTTTAAAGCCGCTTCAGCCTTAACGTAAAAAGGACGACAATTCAATTTCTGGCTCCATTTCTTCCATATTGTAGGTTCTGAAAGAATGGAAACATATAAAATATATATTATAAAATATGTTTAGAAATGATAGTAGAAATGATAGATAATAAATGATTAATCTTCATTTTAATCTTTTATTGTAATGCATATATGTATTGTGTGTGCAACACAAATATGAATTACAATAAAAAATAAGTAATTATAATAAGTGAATTACAATAAAAATAGTAAAATAAATTTTTATTCCTTTGTTATCTATCATTTCTTACGCGTATGTATTAATAATATAATGTTACATTTACTTTTTAGGATTTTCTTCATTTTCCTTTTCGTTAGATCTGAAAATAGAAATGTATAAAATATATTGTACAATATAAAATATTTTTATAGAAATAATAGATAACACACACACATTGGTTAATTTCATTTTTATTTTATTCTTTTATTGCAATGCGAATGTATCGCATGCACAACACATATATATTATGTATTACAATAAAAGATTAAAATAAAAATTAATTCTTTGTCATCTATTTTTATTATATATTTCTATATTATTATTATTATATATATGTATTACAATAAAGTGTTAAAATAAAAGTTAAGCAAGTATTATGTATGCAATACATATGCATTATAATAAAAGATTAAGATAATAAAATATTAAAATAGATTATAAAACATTTTTATAATGAAATAATAGATTGTTATCTATCATTTCTATAAAAATATTTTATAATATTTTATTATTTTATATATTTTATTATTTGAATCCTTATTGTAATGCATATGAGTTGCACACACAATACTTGGTTAACCTTTATCTTAATCTTTTATTGTAATACTTATATATATGTGTTATACGCAGAAGTACATTTAGTTACATATCGCAACAACTAATTTTAGGTTAGTTTTAATTTTAATGATCTATTTTAATTTTTTATTATAATGCATTTGTATTGCACATGCAATATATAGCAATATATATGTATTATAACAATCATTAGTTATTGCGATGAGTAATTATATGTATTTGTATCTATAATACATATATGAATTATAATAAAACATTTAAATAAAAGTTAAACAGTATCATGTGTGAAACATATATACCCATACAGTACAAATGTTACAACAACGTTCTGTGCTGTATGGGTAATAGAAGATTATAATAAAAGATTGAAATAAAATATATAAAATAATAAATTATATTATAAAATATCTTTATAGATATTATTAATAATCATTGCTTACCTTTTGTGAGTTTCATTATGATTAATTGTTGCTTGTCCTTTTTCGTTTTTGGAACTGTAAATGTATAAGTTATAAAATATTTGTATAAAAATGATAGAAAACGTATTGGTTTATCTTTATTTTATTCTTTTATTGTAATACATATGTATTGCGTGCACAACATATACATATTACAATAACGAATTAAAATAAAGATAAACTATTTGTTATCTATCATTTCTATAAAGATCTTTTATAATATTTTATTATTTTTTTTAATCTTTTTATTGTGCATATTTGTTGCGTGCACAATATTTAGTTAACTTTTGTAATACATTTATATTGCTATATGTTGCGTGCACAATACAAATGTATTATAATAAAGGATTAAAATAATCATTAGTTATTGCGATGAATAATTATATGTATTTCTGCGTATAACATATATTTTATGTATTATAATAAAGGGTTAAAATAAAGATTAGCCAAGTATTGTGCATACAATACATATGCATTATAATAAGAGATTAAAATAATAAAATAATAAATTATAAAATATCTTTATAGAAATGATAAATAAGTGATTAATTTTTGTTTTTATCTTTTATTGTAATATGTATCACGCGTGCAACATATAATGTGTGTATTACAAAAGTATATTATAAAAGATTAAAATAAAGATTAACCAATATTATCTATTACTTGTATATTAATAAAATTTATATATATATAATATATATATATATATATATATATATATAATACATAATATATACAATACTATATATATATACATACTATATATATATATATATATATATATATATATATATATATATACAGGGTGTCCCATTTTAATCCATCCAGTCGAATATCCCGAAAACCAAGTCCGAAAGAGAAAAATGTTTTAGACAAAAGTTGTATGGTTTCAAGGGGGACATAAGATGGTACCATTGGTTTGACCTTGAAGAGTTATTTGAAGGTCACATGAAGGTCACCTTCAATTTCTTAAATGGAACCTACATTTTCTCTTTACATATTCTTGTAGTTTATCTCGAGAGCTTTCCAAAACACTATAATTAAGTACCTTTTCGTTAAGTACTTTTTGAGTTATAAGGCTTGAAATCATTTCTTAATTTTACATAAATCATAAAATATCTAGTAAAATATTCATTTTTCGATTATCTTACCTCAATACTTTTATGTACAAAATAATGAGAGGAATCAATTGGTGTAAAGAAAACATACAGTTGTTTTTAAGAAAAAATATGTAATTGTTAATTGCAAATTACATATTTTTTCTTAGAAACAACTATGTGTTTTCTTTACACCAATTGATTCCTCTCATTATTTTGTACATAAAAGTATTAAGGTAAGATAATCGAAAAATGAATATTTTACTAGATATTTTATGATTTATGTAAAATTAAGAAATGATTTCAAGCCTTATAACTCAAAAAGTACTTAATAAAAAGGTACTTAATTATAGTGTTTTGGAAAGCTCTCGAGATAAGCTACAAGAATATGTAAAGAGAAAATGTAGGTTCCATTTAAGAAATTGAAGGTGACCTTCATGTGACCTTCAAATAACTTTTCAAGGTCAAACCAATGGTACCATCTTATGTCCCCCTTGAAACCATACAACTTTTGTCTGAAACATTTTTCTCTTTCGGACTTGGTTTTCGGGATATTCGACTGGATGGATTAAAATGGGACACCCTGTGTATATATACAGGGTGACCCATTTTAACTTAGGCAGCCAAATAACTCGAAAACAGCATTCTTTAGAAAGAAATGTTTCAAACAAAAATTGTAGGGTGTGAAGGGGGACATAAGATGGTAGCATTGGTTTGACCTTGGAAAGTCATTTGAAGGTCACATAAAAGTCACCTTCAATTTCTTAAATTGAACCCACTATTTTTCATTACATATTCTTGTAGCTTATCTCGAGAGCTTTCCAAAACACTACAGACAAATGTTTTTTCATTAAGTACTTTTTGAGTTATAAGGCTTCAAAGTTTGCAGTACTTCGATATAAAATGCAAAATATCTCGTAAAATATTTAGTTTTCGGTAGTCTTACCCTAATACTTTTATGCACACAATAATGAGACAAAACTATTGGTGCAAAGAAAACGCATGATTGTTTATAACAAAAAGTGCATTGCAAATTACACATTTTTTATTATAAACAATCATGCGTTTTCTTTGCACCAATAGTTTTGTCTCATTATTCTGTGCATAAAAGTATTAGGGTAAGACTACCGAAAACTAAATATTTTACGAGATATTTTGCATTTTATATCGAAGTACTGCAAACTTTGAAGCCTTATAACTCAAAAAGTACTTAATGAAAAAACATTTGTCTGTAGTGTTTTGGAAAGCTCTCGAGATAAGCTACAAGAATATGTAATGAAAAATAGTGGGTTCAATTTAAGAAATTGAAGGTGACTTTTATGTGACCTTCAAATGACTTTCCAAGGTCAAACCAATGCTACCATCTTATGTCCCCCTTCACACCCTACAATTTTTATTTGAAACATTTCTTTCTAAAGAGTGCTGTTTTCGAGTTATTTGGCTGCCTAAGTTAAAATGGGTCACCCTGTATATACAGGGTCTACCAAAAGTGTGGAAACCCCTAAATATCTCGGAAAATATACGTTTTACAGAAAAGTGTTTCGAACAAAAGTTGTAGGGTTTAAGAAGATCTATATACTGATTCTATCAGTTTGACCTTGGATGGCGTCGTCAAGGTCAGGTCAAGGTCACATTGACTTTTTTAAATGACACCCCCTACATTTGATTGCATATTCTTATAGCTTAATTCAAGAGCTTTCCAAAACACTATAATAATGTTCATTTTTATTAAGTACTTTGCGAGTTATGAGGGTTGAATGATAGAGTAGCGCCGGTATTAACATTATCCAAGGTGTACTACATGGAGGTTACTCGCTCGGATTTGCATCTGTTGTGTGTGTGATCCAGCTAACTAAGGCAAGATCGATTCCTCAACATATCCTCATATTTCGCTGAAGTCAAATTGCCAAAAAATTGCTCCATAAAACGTGTATGAAACGTCTCGTTAGTTCCTTCATTTACCGCTATGTGACGCACTACATGCAGTCTAACTCGCATTTAAAATTCAACTAAGAATGTATAAAGCTATCAAAGAACGAGCACCTTCTAACTTCAGCTTTGAGCAAGCAGAAATTAATTGTTATCGTCCAAATACAACGTACGATTAATTAAAATTAAACGTTTTAAAAATGGCTGGCGACTTGTCGGAACGTGAAAGAATCACTATCCTCATGATGCGTGGATGGGGTGATAACGAAAGATCGTTCTCTGATGTCGTTCGATTATTTAATGACACGTATCCGAACCGTCGAATTAATAAGTCCACTGTGTTAAAAACAATAGAACGTTTTAGACAAACTGGTAGCGTAAGAAATCGCTCTAAGTCAGGAAGACCATTGTCTGCAACCAACGAAGAAAAACAACTTGATGTTCTGCAGACATTTATTGAAGATCCCAATTCTAGTGTTCAGAGAGTCGCTCAAACTCACGATATTGCTCCCATGTCGGTTTGGAGAATTTTAAAGAAGAACAAGTTCCATCCATATAAATTGCAATACGTTCAAGAATTGTAAAACGGAG